AGGTAATAAACCAGCTGTGACAGGGTCTTGGTCCAATGGCCTGAGTTTGAAGGATGGAAGAACGTTTCAACAGCTTGGATAAGACCTTCGAGCTGTGAGAGAATTGAAACTTCGGCATCCACACAAGCAGGGGAGAGCGACATCACAATCCACCGGGCAATGTGATGAGCAACCGGGTGCTTCCGCCCATCGCGATCAAGCATAATACCTAGACCAGACGAGATATCCACCAGGGCACTGTACGGAGAAGTGGATTGCCCGACTGGGATTTCCAGCAACCTCAGTACCGCTGTGAAAATGAGAGCAGACTGCTCCTTTGTGAAGATACCATGCTCGGAGAATGGAATGTGAGCGGCTGGCAGAGAATCTCGGGCCAATCGGGAGAAATAATCCAGATATGTGGTGTCAAATGTTTTTGACCGACCGACCAATGACCACAAATGGAAATGGGTAGGCAGGTGGCTCTGCGGTAGGAGATCGGCTCGCGATTCAGGAGCCGGGGAAGTCGGAAGCAGCAAATTAATGAGCCCGGCGACAACGAAGGCACCTTCTGAGAATGATGTGGTATAATGAGGCAAGAACTCTTCAAGCATAGCGGGAAGATCACACGGGTCAATGTATAATTGAGCGAATGCACAAAGCTTGGTCAAGGTCTTGACATTCCGCTTCAGGTTGGTCGAGTGAACAAGGCCGGACTCGGTGGGGAGGACAAAAGCCTTGAGCTCCTTGTATAAAGGCCTCCAATCTAAGACGAGGTCTTTGACTGGTTTTAGATAGTGCTTGCGCCTAAATCATGGGTTAGCAGCCACCCTACTCCCGCAACCAACACTGATAACCCAACTCACTTGGTGAGAAGCATGAACATGCTCGAAAATCGCTCGGCGACCGACGGGTCAATCCCAGGAGCAAGTGCAAGCTCAAAATACAATTTTACAAGGCTGATGCGCTGCGCCCGGGTCGGGTCGAACTTGAGCGATAGCCATCCACGTAGCTCGCGTGTCCAGTGCACGGCTCCGGGATTGAAGTCGCCGGCCTCCACTGCAATATAGAGCTGATTCAAGATCTCCCGCAAATTTTGATTCCGCTCAGTCTCATCCTCAAGCTGGTATGGAAGATATTTGAAGTATGGATAGGTACGGGGCCGCACACGGGCTATCGGTTCGCCTTCGCTATTCACAGCGACTGGCTCACCACCGGGCGAGGTTGCCCGGGAGAGATCTTGTGCATGATGGAAATTGTCGGATGTGAGGATCGCCTTAGGGCCGGAGGCTTCCATCGTCGGATGGGAGGTAATGGTCGACACGAGGTGGAGATGAGGTGAGGGAGGAGTAGCCTTTGCCGTCGGGTGAGCTCTGGCAGCAATACGTCAGCAACGCCGATGTTTCACGAGAATAACTTATTTTCCGCGCAGTATCAAGCAGACAACAAGTTTGGAAGGAAATCATACTTTTAATGAAACTCTGAAGCTCCCACTCCAAAAAGCGCGGGATTTGGAACCGGAGATTGTATTTCACACGGCTGTGTTCGCATGGAGTCTTTTTTTTTCTCGGCAGGCGAGGGGGGAATATGACGGGCTCGTGTTCGTTGTGATAATTGAGCAGCTCAGGATTACAGCCTCCGTTTCTTCTTTTCTTCTTGAAATGCCTAGTTGTTGAAGGTCAAGAGGTCAAAGGGGAGAGAGACGAGGTTGTGATGACATAATTATACGTAACGAAGCTTGGCCCTGCAGAGTGACCCGCGTGGAGAGATGCACACTAAAGATGTAAAGTGCTGTTGGCACAGTGGTTTCACTTTTGCTTTTGATAGCCCTTTGAGAAAGATCTATGAGTTACTGTTTCTTTCTCTCTCTTCTTTTCTAATTTATAATAGTTCAGTAGTTCACTTAGTGGGCGACTGCGCCTTTTACCCCAATTTAGGGCAGACAGCCACCTTACGCAAGCATATCGCCCAACCAACAATTCGGGATGCCTGCATTTTTGGCCATTCACAGCAGTCTAGGCCATGTCTTATAACTTAAATCACATATCAATGTACACAGCAGATGACTCAAACCAATATGGAGCCGGGTCATCGCTACTCGTAATTCTCTTTCATGCTGGAGGCAGGAAAGAACCGAAAAGAACACCCTGGATCAACGCATAGGCCACCATGCTATAGACAGCGGCCACAAGAGTCCGGCTTTGCTTGGGTGAGCTTGAACTGAGATCTACAGCACTGGTAACCAGATACCAGTACCACAAGGGATACCCCGATGAGATGCGGTTGATGATCTGAACATGGTAGCTGGTGAATGCCATGACAGCCAGCAGACCCTGGGGAACCGCCAGCCGAGCGAGCATTGACCCCGGGCTTGTTGAGGAGGAAGAGGGACTTTGTAATGCCCACAGGCTGGATCGGCATAGAACGGCCAACATGGGGGCCGCCAACAAGAAAAGAGGTATATTGGAAACTGTCCAGTATCGCAAGAATCCAACATCCCTATTGCAGTCAGTAAGAGTGAGGACAGTGGTATTCGGATGTGAATTACTGCTTACCAGTAATGATTTTGAACCCAGCCGTAGATGCTAGGCAAAGTCCACTCACACCATGGCCGAAGATCGCCCTCAGACATGCAGTACATACGATAGGCCAGGATTTGAGGAATGACTATCCCAGATCCGACAATACAGCCACCAACAATGATCACTGCAAGACGAACAGTGGTGTGCAATGTAGGACCTTTAGTCAGGATCTTCCAAGCCAAAACTGCCGCATCATAGGCAAATAGGAACCCGCTGAGAATTCCATTACTGCGGACCATGGTGGCGGCCGCGAACAGTACCGCGGAAGTGAGAACCCGAATATCTCGCAGGCGTGTTGCCCCATTGCGCTCGGCGATGAGAGAGGATGAATAGAGGTAGAATCCAGTAATGTTCAAAAAAGAGACTATCGACTCTCCATAGGGCGCGGATAGGAAAGCACCTGCTGGTGAAATGATGTGAAGAGCTGCAGATAGGAAGCAAATGAGATGTTGGGTGGCAGTCGCGTGACCAAAGATATTGGCCGACAGACGATAAAGCGCCAATACAGACAAATAATGGGCAACGTGGGAGAGAACCACTCCCACCATTGCAGTGCTGACGGGTCCAGCATCTCCTCCAGATAGACGAATACCTATTCACATTATTAGTCTGTGTGGGATGGATAGAATAATAAAGGGAATTATGTACCGGAAACAAAAATAGATAGAAGCTTAGTGTAGCCCCAGCCAAAGGCCCATTCTTGCTCAAACAGATATCCCTTTTCGGCAATATCCAGGTAGTAGATACTGTCCCATCTGGCAAATTTAAGGGGCCCCGAGAGAGACTCAGATTGGGCAACCGTTGATGGGTCGGCAGCATATGAGATCAAGGAGGTGGAGGTATCATAGCCTGATCCTGGACAGGCGGCGACGACGATATACAACAAGACCTTCCATGACCAAAATGCTAGTGTCAAGCTTCGAATTGGGTTGTCCAACCGCAATAGTTTGGCAAACAATGGCGGTGGCCTTGTGGTGGGTTGAACAGAAGCCATGACAAGTTTCCAGTGACTTCAGCCACTAACCTTGGAGGGTGGACTTGAATAATCCTCAGGAATTTCCCAATGCGGACACGTAACGGGATCGGGTCTAGATGTCGGGATGCTTACCTCGCGCTTTGTTGGTCTCCCGGTCAGCCGAGGTAACGTAACTTTCCCAGGAGGTGAAACCTGAAAAGGTTCGCATAAGTTGGCATTATTAGTCATCCGATCATTCCCCGGGGCCGTTGATCAACCTTCCAAGGTTGGAACATTTAAACCTTGGAAATCGGCTTCTGAAAGTCTACTACGAACTACCTAGGTAGGTAGGTACCTCTTAGGTACATACTACATACTTTTGTAGTAGAGTGGCAATTGTAGGGGAGATTCCACAGTAGAAGAGAAAATTAACAAATTCCAGGAACAGACCTTACGCTACTAAGTTACTCCATATATCGTATAATAATTTATAATTGCCAAGGATTTCCATTACAACATACCTATGTATTCCCAAGGCTTTGGTCAAGTGAGCTCTGTCTAAGGTCGGACAGGGATATTAGCCTGCCTTCCTTGCCAAGCCCCATCTTATTGGAGCATGGGCAAATTGCCCAAGGTTTGTTACCTCATGAGCCCGTATACTCGTGTAAGAGTATCCATATATTCTAGGCATGGTGGGACTATTGTCACGTTCAAAATTTGAATTTTTCATTTGGATAACCTGAGGGATTTATATATACAACATACTAATATTATTGGAGTCAGACCAATTGAAGTCCCGGAGAGTTTAATGAACTAACATCTGTACTCCATAGCGGCATTCGGAATCCAAAAAAGGACGATGAATGATCGCCGCGGAATCCGGATCTGTCGGAGACCGTATAATCACCGATCCCGCTGACAAGCATAAGCCGAACTTTGCATTAAGCCATGCATTAAGACACTATTAATATTATATTATTCAACATAATAAGCACATTAAGCACATTAAGCACATTAAACAAATCAAACAAATTAAAATACACACTTTTGTCAATTTGTGCAACTGAATCGGTTCCACTATGACTTGATGATTACTATTTGGTCTTTTTCAATTTTTCCTTTTTTCTTTTTTTTTTTAAATTTACATAGCTCTATAAGGCTGACCGCCCCATTTATATTAAGATCCTTTATTGCTCTTGCAGTTTTATCCCTTCCACTCTTTAAACCTTTTACTTTTACCCCTTGCATCTATTTCTTTCTTACCACATATTGCAAGTTACAATCTTGACTTGCATGGCCATTTTGTTCTTTCTGCAGTGATTAGACCCTTTCCCACACATAGCTCCAGGCTGAGCCCCCCCCCCGCAGCTGACGGCATTTGAATACGGGCTATTCATGACTAGTACATCGGGGGTGAAATTCCACAAAGTTTCCCACAAAGATTTGGCTCTTTAATACCAATGTGGCTCCGCTAGGGCTCAAGAATGCTGTTGAATCTTGGCCTTACAGCGGATGCCGCAGCAGCCCACGCAAATGAACCTAGTAACCAACCAGACACTCAGCTTTCTACGTGTGCTACCTACTCGCCTACCTTCTTACTGTCTGCTCTGCCATTGTTGAACTCCTTCTGCAGTCCGCCCCGGCTTCCTGATGGTTCTACTGATTGTCCGGGGCTTGTATCCGCTATGGTGATGAGTCCGATTGAGTCGGCCTCGAGTTCCGGTGAAGCCTCCAATGAATCGTCTGCTGTTGTCGCCAGGCCCCGAGTTTCCCGTTCAGCCACAGGTCGGAAGTCTCGACCCAAGACGTCATACCAATTCGCCCATCCCGCCGCTCATGCTCGCCACAAGCGGTTGAGGTTTCGTCCTAAGCTCCTCCTGCAGCTACAACAGGTGTCACAAGCCCCTCGGCCGCTACCGGTTGTGGATGTCCTGCCATCGACGTCTTACCTGCCATTAATAGCCCGCAAGTTCCCGGCCATCTATCGGACCAGAAACGGATTGGGTCCGTATGACCTGATCGTGGTGTTGAGCGAACAATACGACCGGACGGTGGGCAGCATTCCTGAAAAACGTGTCAGCTCGGAGGATGAGGACGAAGATCATCGCGAGGTAGTTGCCACAATCTGTCAAAAGTATCAAGAAGATGCTCGACTGAAAGGGAAAGCGGAGATATGTCTGAATTTCGGGCCTGTCTGGGAGGCTTCGCCTCTCCCAAGCGGGTCTTACGAGTTTGTCGCCCAGACAGAGAGCGGTGTGCAGATCATGCGGTGGGCTTTGCGTGGTGGGAGGAATCGCCGGATGACGACGCCAGGGACACAATCGCGCGAGGACGGCAAACGCTTCACTTTCAGCGTCATCGATCCTACCACTCGCCGACATCCCGTTCTCGCGTCCATGACTCGAAATCAGTTAGAAGTCAACGACGAATACTCCGCGGCTGTTCGGTCCGGCACCGGTCCCACGACTCCAAGCTCAGGAATGTCGGTCGTGAGTGATGCCTCGGATGCAGACACTCCCCTCGATGGAGGCTCAGTCACTCTTGATGATGGACTGCGAACTTTGATTGTCATCACCGGCATCTGGGTCGCCTTCCGTGAGGGATGGTCAGACAACTTCCGCTACGGCGATGCGGTCTCTTCATCCAGTGCAAAGTCGAGTATGTCTCCAACTTCCGTGAAGTTTACATCTCCGACGACCGCCAAGAATGAAACCGACTCTTTCCCGGATAACGATGAAGACGGCAAACGCTGCTTGTCGGTTTCCAATATCCGCCGTTCCACCACCCCAGCCCCCGTGGATGGAACCAAATCCACTAGTTTGTCCAAACGCTCCAACTCCACTGGTGCTGCATTCATGGATCGAGCGAAACGAAGATCCGCTTCTGGGCTTAGCACTCGCCTGAACCGACACAGTATGTTCACTGCCTTGGGCGAGAACGGCCGAGATATCGTTGTCTCTCGTCCTCCTTCTCCTCACCAACAATCTGCTGAGGTGGAAGATTCATATCGAGCTGGTCATCCTAAAGCGAAGTCTCCTGCAAAAGCCCAGCCGGAAACAGAAAATGTTGGATCAGATACGATGGCAGGTCGAGACCCTGCGTCAAATTCCCGCATCAAACAGCATGGTAGCACCCACAAGAAGAAACCGGATGCTCCAGCCCCCGAAACTGTCGACTCAACTTCCAACAAGGGCAAGGTTCGCCGCCGTCTCAGCACCTTCTTTGGCATTTTTCACCGAAAACACGATACTCATTGACCTTTCAATTCTCCATCACCATGTATATTCCTGCATCATGTTTGTGGCTAGTCCACACATAGGCATCATCACAGCACCACGTTCGAGTCTCATCGCATCTGGCATAAGTTGGGCGTTTATACGTTGCAGTACGATTCGTCAGGTACGAATCCTTGGCCGGTTTCCTTTTTCTTCTACTCTCCTCTCCGTCTCATCCCAACTAGCATCTTGCATCCTTTGCATATGCGCATTTTTCCACACTTCTCTTTTCATGTCTACTCTTTCTCGCCATATCTTCATCTTCATGTCCTGGGGGCTCAAACTCAATATGTATGCTTGTATCTCACTCGTGTACATTGCTATCCATCTATCCATCTATCCATCACGCTACATATGAATAAATACCCCACCACTGACAGTCAATTCCACAAAACTTTCATTTTATCAAGTCTCCCAAGTATAGGTTCAAATATCTGGCTTATCTCATCAAGGAATAAATATAAGAGCAATATGGATCTCCATTCAAAGTTCAATTTGCACGGTATTCACGATATTCACGGCCTTTATAAAGCTGCATATGTACGTAGGCACCCCTCTCAAATCCTTACCGCTCAAGAGCAGTAACAGCCTTAGGAACATACGGCTCCTCCAAATACTTAATCTCCTCAGGAGACAGCTGAACCTTAATAGCATCAACAGCCTCATCGATCCTCTTAACACTGTGCAGTCCAAGAATCGGGTTCTCACCAGGGTGCGTCAAAGACCAAGCGATAGCAATCTGAGCCATGCTCACACCCTTCTTACTAGCGAGTTCCTCAACCCGGTCAATAATAGCCTTATCCGCCTCCGACTCGCGACTACGGACAAACATCTTCAGCGCACCGTCACTATTCTCACGCACCGTCCCGCGCGAGCCCCAGGGGCGCGCCAGAGCGCCACGAGCAATCGGTGACCAAGGGATAATGCCGACTCCAGCGTCTTGGCAGTAGGGGATCATCTCACGCTCTTCTTCACGGAAGAGAAGGTTGTGGAAGTTCTGCATGCAGATGAATTTGTGCCAGCCGTTGCGCTCAGCGATGTTTTGCAGGCATTGGAATTCCCAGGCCGCCATCTGGTTGGGTTAGTGAGATCGTGGATGGTAGGAAGGAAAGAAGGAGACGAAAAAGAAAGGAGAGAATAGGAGAATAAGACTAGCAGCCATGCACATACCGAGCTAGCACCGATATACCGAACCTTCCCGCTCTCAACGACGTCGTTCAGCGCCTTCATGATCTCCTCGCGTGGTGTATCCCGGTCCAGGCGGTGCAGCTGCAGCACATCGATGTATGTACCCAGACGTTCGACGCTGGCGTCGACAGCGTCGAAGATGTGCTTGCGCGACAAGCCGGTGCGGTTGACGAAGGGGCCGTCGTTTGTAGCGCATGCGGCGATGGGTGGGAACTTGCCCTCGTCGTCGACACCGAAGAAACACTTCGTTAGGATTACCACGCGGTTGCGGGGGATGTTGTACTTCTTCAGGGCTTTTCCGACGATTTCTTCGGATTTACCGTGAGAGTAGACGTCCGCCTAGCGGTAAATATTAGTAGTTTATTCGGTGGTATAGAGAATATTGCATGTCTTCAATTTACCGTGTCCCAGGTGTTGATGCCCTGCTTGTAGGCATGTTCAATCAGGGGCAGGGAGTCTTCCTCGTCTAGGACCCAGTCTTGCCATTGCTTGCTGCCATAGCCCATTGTTCCAAGAATGACCTTGGAGATCTTTAGACCTGAGTTTCCAAGGCTGTTATTTGGTATCAGCGTCTTATTCGGGTGGGATGTGTTCGGGGGTTCTGTACCGGACATATTCCATCTTATTGTCGGCCATTGTGAAATTTGTGGGCTTATTTATGTGAGCTCTAGTGAAGTTAAGAAGTGTTAGTTTACAATAATTCCCATATATCGATCTTGTTGATTCACATTGACTATGACGTCAACATCCCAAGGTAAGCCCTGGTGCACTCCAGGGCTGGAGGGGAACTCACAGCGTGTGTCAACACAAATTAAGTGGCGGTAATTAGTGGAACAAAGGGAAGAAGACAAGATTCACGAGATTGCTGTAGACTAAAGCTTGAAATGAGTCAGAAGAGTCCAACAGAGCTCATTAATAATCCAGGTGAATCTGCCAAAAACCACAAGCGTGGGGCTGATGTAGCCGATGAATTACCGGCATATCCACCTCCTTGCTGATCGGTCCAGAACATCGGATGTTGAGATCTACAGTATATGCATCTATGTTATATTACATCCTTGTAATAATTCTAATATTCCAGAAATGTAGCACGATCGCGTGTGGTATGACTAGTAGCTGTGGAACTGGCGTCAATACCGCTATAGTAGGTACCTTTTATATATCTTAGATCGCTTAACCTGAAAATATACATGTGAATTGGATTCTTACAACCTTGGAAGCTAGCTATGCATAGTAACATTTCTCAACTGTTGACTGGCTCGCCAGAATACGGCCATGTGCCCAACAACTGCAAGAATTGGCTTGTAACACGATACAGCATGTTGCTTGGTGCGAGGAGTAGAGAAGCTGGCTCCGCATTCATTTCCGGCTTCTGGATATCAGTGGGAGGATGAACCCAGGGGAAACGATTGGGCACAAATCCATCGATTGTCACACCATTGCCGAAACTTGCATATTTCTCATCAGGATTCTCGTAGACTAGATCGAAGTCTTCCCAGCGGACAATTTCGGTTGCCGCATAGTAGTGGAGGACAGTGCCAGGCCAGGGAACAATCACCTTTCCGTTGTCGTTCTTGTCTGTACCACAGAGCATGAGTCAATGTGTAGAGCTAGGAGAGGTAGGATGCTTACACCATGATTTGCATGGTCCTGACCAGACCATGTGAGGCATTCTCGACTGGACCCATTGGTTGTATGCGCGTTGAGCACACTGTGTCACAGATACGGACCGCAGTCTGTCTGTCCGCAGTCGAGGATAAGACTCGAACCATATAGTCGCTTGCTCTCTGGATGCCAGGGATGGCGGATCCATTCACAGGGCAGATTGGCGGGTTGAAGACTGTGCAAGATATACCGGTTAAGCACAATAAGCTCAAAGAACGTTCAGGTTCTTACCGAAGAAGTTAGGGAACTCAGCGACCATCGCAGCCATATAACTCTCGCAGGGTCCCTCGCGATCCCACTCTTCGCTGAGTGATCGTCCAGCGCGGCCAGTGACTGGGAACCGTGGCTGGTATGGCTCGAAGCCGGTAGCATACACCAATATGTCACACTCGTATTCCCCTCCAGATTCAGTGATGAGGCTACCCTCGGTCAGCTTTTTGATTGAGTCATGCACGTACACGGCATTCGGCTTCTGCAACGCATCCAGATAGTGACCACCCGGCGTGAAACGACGACAGCCAGCTTCGAATTCCGGTACGAGGGCATCTAGAAGATCGGGGCTCGTGATCTTGGACTTCATGAATGAATGTGCCAATGATGTGAAATTGGCTTGAGACTTTGTTCCTCTCCACAGTCCCGTGAAACTTGCGGCGAGTCTCTGCTCTAGTGAGATGCAAAAGTTGTAATAGCGCATAGGGCATGCCTGTAGAGCTTGTTTCTGTTCGGTTGAGTCTAGATAGACATCAGCGCTTCTGTCGCTAACCCTTTTCTTTTCTTGTCGTTTCATTTCTCTCTTTCTCTTTTTGCAGTAAGGGGAGACACTCACACTCGCGCTGGACGGTACCATCTTCAGCCGATACATGTGGGAGGATCCATGTTGGACCTCGCGCAATGTTTATTATTTGCGAAGCAACTTGAGAGCCCCACCTAGTCAGCGTGGTATGTCTTCGGAGTGGCTTTGCAACTCACCTGGCTGCAAAGCTGCCACGCACTGAATGGCGCTTGCACCATTCCCAATCACAATCACTCGCTTGTCCTTGACGGTCATATCAGCTCGCCAGTTTGCAGTATGTACTTGGACTCCTCGGAAGGTCTTTTGGCCTGCAATCTTGGGGAACTTGTAGTTGTTCAACCGCCCAACAGCGTAGACAAAGACATCAGCAAATATGCTCCTTTCTTCGCTGGTAAGCATATCGCGGAGTACAACCTTCCATTTTGAGGAGACTTCATTCCATTCCGCTAGGATGCATTGGGTGCTGAAGGTCATAAAGCGGCGGAGATTGTGCCTATCGACTACATCCTCCAGGTATTTGTGAATCTCGGGGGCTGGAGGATAAAGCGATGACCATGAGGGGTTAGGTGCCCAATTGAACTGGTAGGTGTGGGAAGGCACATCGCATGTGCATCTATCAACATTAGCGAACTACTTACTCATCTGATAATAAGTCTCACGGAAATACAGTCGTACTTACCCGGGATACCGATTCTCATACCATGTACCCCCCCAAGGAAGGATTTCTGTCGTATATTTCGAGATCGACACCTGATAACGAAGTGGTCGCATCATGTGCAAATTGGATTCCCGAAATACTGAAGCAATCTGTTAAGAGAGAGTATCACTCGAGTTCAGTACATGTGCACGTACCCAGCACCGATAACCACAATCTTCAACGGGCGTGCCACAAAGGCACTTGGAATGAGATCCATGGCAGGTAACGTGAAAGACAGCTTCAGGGGAAGAAAAGAAGAAAATCTCCAAAGCTGAAAAGAACTGGGGAGACAGGTCATATACGATCGCGTGTCTCGTCTTGTCTCGTCTTCTACACGACACGTGCGTTCTAAACAAAAGGATAACAGAGACGATGTACACGTTTCTTTGTTTACATGGATCAGTCTACATGGTCTACTCAATATTCTCAGAATGTCTCAAACTCCATGATGAGACACGAGAAGACAAGGGAAATACTTCCGTTTCTCTGCTAGTAGAGGTCTCAACATAATATTCTGGGAAACACGATCAGCAGTTTCCAAGTTAGGTCTTGGAGAATGATGATTTTAGCAATTGGAGACCTTGCAGGGTAAGACTAAGTAGTATATGTGCGAGTCCTAGAATAATCGACAAATGTTCTATAAAAAAAGAAAATATAGTATCGCAAATATAGGCAGGAGGAAAACGTCAAAAGTAGATACGGGATGCTTATTGATGCGTAGAAAAGAGAGACATCATTAAATCAACTGTGAAATGGAAATGGCGATGGAGAGATATTGGAAAATACTACACAGGGCTCATAATGTCTCCTATTTTTATTAGACGCCGTAGTCCTATCTCTGCTTTTATTGATAGTGGTTATACTATCCATACGCACTCTCTTTCTTCTTCTACTAACTCCTTCTTTAACTGCTCTATATTTCTAATGATATGATATTAAGGAACTCCAGCTAGACAACAGAGAGAGTTAAATAGCAGTCAGCAGCAGCATAAGATGGAAGATTGCCTCAAGATATTTCATTCCATTCTGGTAGCTGTTTCGACAGGTTGATCTCTTACCATCTCTCTAGCCATATCTGCCATTCAGCATTTTCTTCTCTTTATCTCTCTCTCTCTCTCTCTCTCTCTCTCTCTCTCTCTCTCTCTCTATACCCCCATACCCAGTACCCAACATGTTGATCACTGATTATTACTGCAGTATGTCTACTCACCACCCTACATGCCAGCACAAACATCTAACAGTATTAGACTGCGTTCTCAACCCCGAATGGGACCCAATCGAGTTCGAACCTCAGAGCGAGCGGTCCCAAATCCTGCGCCAGCCAGTCGAATGTATCCGAGCGATATGTCTCACACCCCGCGAGTTCAATTTTCCAAACACCTGGACCTTTTTCCTATCCACATCTGAAGTAAACATGACGGCGGTAAGACTGCATTGTCAACCAACCTACGTGCGCCAACCCACCGTTCTTGAATTTGGCTCCAAAGCCAACATCGTGTTTCAAAAGAGATCGACTTTGGTCCCACCCAATGGGCAACTGACCTTTGTTCTGAGCGTGAACCCGGGATTTACGGTGGGCGATATCCACGAAATGATTGTTGCGAATAATCGGCACAAATTTGAGATTGACGACGATGGTTGGAATGGCCGGACCTGGGTCTATGATCAAATCGATCTCTTCAACCAGCATGGTATTCTCGCCAACCAGGATGAGGTCGCACTGGTGAATGATGGAATACGGAAAAGGTGGCCAGGGGAGTTTCCTGACCCGCTCGAGATGGGGACTTACTATGGGTGAAACCAGACAAGTCAAGTGCTTCTTTCCTCCATGTTGATGTTGGGAACCTAGCCTATAATCAATTTTTTTGTGGCGGGAACAAAGCTATTTTCTTTTATCCAGCTGTACAACAAAGAGTTGTTACTACATATGAAAGGCGTTTTGTCACTATCTGACCCTGCGCTAGGATGTGAGACTGACTCAATCAATGTAAACAACTAGCCCCATAGCCTATAGTAATGCTGATAGCGCGAGATACAGGAGTGTTGATCTTAGCTGACCGAGCTTCTCTCTTACTGGTCCAATTTTTGGTGCTCATTTTTGAGCACTCCTTCCAGGCTTCATTAGCCCATTTTCTAGACAACCTAGGTGATATGGGAAATATTGCGGCCGGAGCCTAGTACTAGAACTAGGAGTTGATGCACCTATACTCCGTACAGGTAGGACGACTATTGAATCTCTCTTTCCTAGCTCGTCTAGTGTTTTCTTTCTGCTTGCAGTTGGGAGGAATGTACCATTTCACGAACTGACTCTTGCTTGTTTTTTTTGCATGAGATATTAGTTATAGTTCTCTAAAGGTCAAATATGGTCATACCATGCCCATCATTTGCGCCATGGTGATTTATTAGGCAGGCATGTAAGGAGAATGTTCCAGCTTTGAGTTAAGATCAAGCGGGGAATCACTTGAACAATTTGCCTGGCAGATACTTCCTTCTTCCATTGACTCTGATGTTCCAACTCCCTATATTCATCTTTTACCTTATAGTCCACGGTCACGTGTGCTCTATATTTAAGTCATTACGTCATATGTTGGAACCCGAAACGGCAAAATTCAAAGCGAGTACGACGCTGTACAGGGCCTTATCATCATGGAAAACAAACAGAGCACGATCAGGTCCCGGAAATCTCATAATAAATCCCGTGCAGGGTGTGGAAATTGTAAAAGACGACGAATAAAAGTGAGTGCTTTTCCAAACGGTCTCTGAGTCCGGTTGTCATCTCTCTTCAGCTACCCCTGCTACCTTCATGAAAGATGGATATAAAGGAGACAAGCACGTATTTCAGGATCCCAAATACTCTCCAGCCATTAATTGGTTTGGGAATGACCAGACTGGATAGAAAGTGGAAGTCCTGATGATAAGCCACTAATAGCCTACAGTGTGACGAGAAGAAGCCAGCATGCTCCAAATGCATCCATCATGCTATCGAGTGCGACTTCCTTTCGACAACATCTATATCACCAGCTTCATCGTCTGCAGCTCCACCCCCATCCAGGCCTTCAAAGACACAATTCCGGTTCAAGCCTTCCAAATACCAACCTGAGGAACGCGCACCCAAGGATGAAACGAGCCAGCCATCTTCGCAGACGGTCTCTACAGAAGTCCAACGCGAAAGTTCCAGCGCCATACCACAGATTCAGGATACCCTCTCATTTGCCGACCTACGACTCTTCCACCACTTCGTCACTGAGACATACCGCACCATAACGGACGAAGCAACTGACCACAAGCGAATTTGGCAAACTCACGTTCCACAATGGGGATTCACCTTACCATCCATCTTCCACCTCATATTGGCGCTGGCAGCCTTGCATCTGGGCTATCTTCACCCCGAGGTACGAGACCAGTATGTGATGCAGGCGGATGACCACTTCACCTTTGGCATTCGATCTGTGTCGGCTATTCTATCGAGCCTTAACTCAGGGAACTGCCAGTCGATCTACATGTCGACAGTGCTAGTATGTTTTGTCTATTTCGCACACGGTCCAAAACCCGGTGAATATCTTGTATTCAGTGAGACGGGCAAGGCGGAATGGCTGGTTCTTATGAGAGGGGTGAGGTCGATTTTGATGTCTAGTCATGACAAAATCTTTACCGGGGTCTTAGAGATTCAGCCCGACCCTGCTATTCAGGGCGTCAGCCACTTGTTACAAGACGAGCTTGGGGAGCATCAGTCTCGTATTCAACAACTTCAACGTTTTATCGAAACCCAAACTAGCGGGAGTTCCACGGGCCAGTTCTACATCGGTGCACTTGAGAAATTGCTCCAAATGTTTGAAGAAGCATATCAGTGTCGAAGCGCTGGGAAGGATGGTGTTCACTTGATGCCCTTTGTCGTCGGGTGGATATACACGCGGCCTGAAGAGTTCATCAGTCTTCTTGAGGCAAAGGAGCCCCTTTCATTGGTTGTTCTTGCTTATTGGAGTATCCTTTTAAAGTTCATGGGATCCTCATGGCTTATGATCGGTTGGGACCGGCATGTCATAGCAGGAATCCGTGAGTGTTTAGCACTCGAATTCCATCAATGGATCGAGTGGCCTGTGAGTTTTATTTGCGATTGACCTGGATGGAGAAACTCATTCAACGTCACCGTCTGGGTTATATAAATAAAAACATGAAAAATTTGGAATGTGAAAGCAAATCATCGTAACCGGATTTTACCCCCAGACATGCACTTCACCTTGCTATGGTTTCCCGTCGACCTAGAATTCCACTCTGTCCCTAGGTAGCTAACCCGCTAACCCACTAACCCCCTTTTGGGCTAGTGTATCCAACATCCATCTCGGCCAACAGCGCGCTTATTCCTTTCGGCATTTTCACATGCGGCCGGCCCACAGGTTCGCTTCCCGGTGACAAATGGGAATAGTCCTGGAGAAATGATCGACAACTTCCAAGTTTTGGACGCGGCACATACCATAGCCTTGGCGTCGGCTATACAGCCTTGGAATCGGTTAGCGGGAAGAGAGTTAAATGAAAGGGGGGCTGTGTGATCGGACCTCGCGATCGCCTTCCTTTGCCGTCCCTTTCCGTAAATAATACAATCCATTGTTCTCCGTCAAGACGCACGGGTGAAGTGGATGATCTTTCCCAATGTGGTCCGCGCCCCAGGCATCCAAATTCAGACTCAAATTCAGATGGCCAGGAACTCGTGACATAATACTCTGTTGAGAAATATGACAGCACCTTATACTCCGCCGACACCATCTTTGCTATTGTTTTCTATTCTTCATCGGGTTTTGCAACCTCGGTGGGGTGGATCAAGGCTTCGGCCATCTCAATCACGGCGTCCGATTCCACCGATGCCCGAGAATATTCTTTTAATGAAATTATACGCCGATGTTTCAATGCTGCCGACATTGCCGGGCCCTTCCTTTTTGGGCCTGTCAAGTCGTTTGCGGAAGGGCCCGATACCTTTGAACCATGGATCACTTGCCGTGGACCTTCCAAGGTTCCAAGGTTGGTCTGGACTCTGGCGTTTCAAGGTTCCCAGGGTGACCCACGGACAGTCGTGGAAATTTCCAAGGGACTTTTTTTTTATGCTTAAAAAAACACCCAAGTCTAGGTATCTAATATTCAATGCTATATACACTCTATCAAATCACCTAATTCTGATCCACAGTAGGGTAATCTGTATAATGGAAGGTGTTGTCCTCGAATGGTCCATAGAACCGAGTTCGATCATATGGAGCCATGGGGAGCTTTTCCTTCAGTCTGTGCACTAGGTCCGGGTTGCTAGTGAAGTATCGACCATACAACAGACCATCGTATTTACCAGATTCCACTACGCCCCAGGAGTTTTGATCGTCCCAGCCACCAGCGGAGAAGAATGGGGTGGACCCAAAGATCTGACGGAAACGATCAAGAGTCACATCCAGCAGGCCCCAGCTTTCGAGGAACTTATCCTTCTCTTCAGCGCCGAAGATTTGTTCATAACGCTGGGTGGGTTAGCAGTATACCATTAGATAGAGACGATGAAAACATACCGGCTCAATAAAGCTGACATACGACAGCGACGGGAGGGTCTTCTTCAGACCCTCACACAGGTGAGTCCAAGTCTCCACACGCTGCTCTCCGCGCGCTTGGTTGAACATACCAAATGGCGACAATCTAATAGCCAGATTATGCTCACCAATGGTCTTGGCCACCTGCTCCATCAATTCAAACACAAACTGGCAGCGCTTCTCTGGAGTACCACCGTAGGCATCCTGACGCTTGTTGATGTTGGAACTCAAAAACTGCTCCGGCAGGTACCCATTTCCGCAATGGATCTCGACACCGTCGAACCCAATATCCATAGCAGTCTTAGCGGCAATGCAATAATCGTCGATAGTCTGCTTGATGTGTCCCACAGTCATCTCGATAGGCGGATGATTGGCGTAGGGCACGGGCTCTGTGGAGCCAACGGGCGGATGCGAGTAGCATTCCGTCGGGAAATCCCACACAGAGGCCGAGGGGCAGACTGCGGGCGATCCAGTCATCTGAGGGATCGTAGCACGGCCAGCGTGCCACAGCTGACAGAAGATAATGCCACCCTTTGCATGAACGGCGTCCACGACTCGTTTCCAGCCGGCGGCTTGTTCGGAGTTGAACAAGCCGGGTACTCCGGGCATGCCATTGCTCTGTCGAAACGTTAAAAAAAAATTCAAAAAAGAAAATTTAAAGTTTGGATAATTGTCATTAAGCGGGCGGTTCCGAAGGGAATCACACAAATTGTTATCCTAAAGAGGACCTTGTGCCTCCAAATTGAGTACGAGATGCTTACCTCGAGCGATGGTGGAATCCCTTCCGAGATCATCAAGCCTCCTTTGGTAGCACGCTGGGAATAATACTCCACAACCGCATCTCCAGGGATCCAAATACGATTGGGTCGGTCCGGGGTGCTGATGGGATTCAATGGTTCTCCGCGGTTGCGGGTCAGAGGCGCATGGACGACACGATGTTCGAGGGTAATGTTGCCATTTGAAATAGTCAGGGGTTTGAAGAGACCAGAGTCTTTGCCGTTCAAGTAGTGGATGGTCATGTTTTCTTTTTTTGAGGGGGTTCTATGTCGTTTTACTCCGTACTATGGAATGAATTATAGAGGACCGAGGGAATTTTAGAGAAAAAGAAGGGGAAAAGACATCCACGCACAACTCCTTTTCCAGTCCACTGTTGATCACTAACCAAAAGACATGCTGTCAAAACTGTCAGAAGTACTCCGTAGTGCCTCGGCTATTTCAATAGGGTTCAACTAAGGCCCATTTATCTGTTTGGTAAAACAACGGCGTGAGTGGCGAACCGGTGCAAAATTCTGGATCTAGCAACTAATACGAGACACTAGAGCGGATACTATTTGCCCAGCAGTCTGACACCCACGACGCGGATGCATATTGGTGGCGTATAAACGGAGTCTAGTGTCGTCTAGCGTTATTCATAGAAATTTCCAAGAACCATTCAAAAATGAAAAATCGCCCCGTTGGTGGAGTCTACCGCAATCCCTTGAGCAATCATCGCCGTCATGCATCCCGCGCCACTATTACATAGTAGTGGTTCGATAGCCTACAAGTCCCCGCTCAGATTCCCCTTCTTGTCAATCCTCATTTTCGCGATGTGAAGTCCTTTATCTTGTCAATTCCCCAGTTCTTTTACACTAAGGGGAGGGGGAATTCAACTTCAAACCCATCATGACTGTCGATAACCCAACAGATGTCTTGCGTACGGTCAATCTCGTCACACAGGGTCTCTGTATTCCAATCGTGACTGTGTTCGTAGCATTACGATTCTATACCCGGTTTCGATTCAAGCAATCCCTCGGAGTTGAGGATCGTGAGTTTGTCCCTTGCATGCCATACATTTTTTGAGAATTTCGCTAACCATTCTCTAGTTGCCTGTACGATTGCTTGGGTACGTAGTGCAAAATAATTTAGTGCTTTATTAGCCAAATCTGACTTTATACAGTTTCTGTTTATGGGATATTGTGCAATATCCATTGTCAGTAAGTGCTATACTTCCCACACTTTATCAACTACATACTTACTCTACCCAGTCAGTCAACATGGCGGAGGATACAAATTCAACGAGCTCTCCCCTAACGAGAAAATCGCATTCCAAAAATTCTGCTACATCGCGACCATTCTCTACTGTCCGATGGCACTCTTCGTCAAAATCGCCCTCCTAGCGATCCTCACCCGCATCTTCGCTCCCTACCGCGGCAAGGTCTGGTTCATCTATATCTTCCTCGGCTGCCTATGCTGTTACTACAGCGTCGCCCTGATCATCAAGATTCGCATATGTTACCCCATCCCCAGGTACTGGCTGGGTGACCAGGTGGAGGGAAGCTGCCTCGACCAGAACGCTGCCCTCGTCGCCGACTCCGTGATTAGTGTCGTCAGTGACCTCATCATCCTCATTCTCCCACTGCCATTGACATGGTCTCTGCAAATGTCGCTCAATCGAAAGCTTCGCGTGATAGGCCTGCTTGGCGCTGGTGGACTGGCCACCGGCTTCAGTCTTTACCGATTAATTATGGTATTGAAAGGCTCAAGTGATCAGGGCCTCATGTTCGTTCGTGTCATCCTATCCGGGTATGTCATGAACCCCTTCCCCCTTGATCTTTCTCTTTTTCTTTTTCTAACGTCTAGTAGTAATGCCGAGGGAGGTGTCGGATTGATCTGTGCCTGTCTGCCTGTTCTTAACGTCATGTTTGCCCATTACAAGAAGCAGTACTCCTCGCAGAAGTACTACCAGAACGGCGGCTCTACCCATCCGTTGAGTGATAGGAAATCGGCCCCGGCTTCCAATGTTGCCACTGACTGGGACAAGGTGACGAACTTCGGTGACCAGAGCCATCTGATTTCCTTTGCCGGTCCCCCAGAGGCTGGTGAGTCCGGCGAGTCTATCCACAACCAGGACGGCATCAGGAAGACGGTCGCTGTATCACAGACCGTGGAAAGATCTTAATGATGTTTTCATATTTCTCCTACTATATACCCTATACCCCCTGTCATTAATTACCATAATGAATTTTCTTTCCGTCTCTTTTTCTTCCCTTTGTTTCTTACCTGCATATACTGTAGGTGTACGTGCATTGCCGCTTACAAAGTTGGTGTATTCCAGCCTTTGTCCTATCAACATTGAACTAACCATTGAAGACAGACAAGATTAGGCCTTTATTGCTGTATACCCTTTGTATCCCCAGGTGATCAAAGACCAAACAATGGCCTTCACGAATTCTCATCTCTTCTTTGTTCGAGGACCTCTCCACCAGCCATGTTACTATAAATACCTCAAATCCCCCATCTACTCTAATATACCACAGTACTCACCACAACCATGCCCCAAGTATTCTCATCCTGGCAGGACAAGCTCCTGCACGAATGCCGTATCTTCAAAGCCGGCTTAGATATCCAAGCCAACATTCTACGCTGCGACCCAGACGGTCGAGGAAAGGATCGACACGCGGATGTATCTCGGGCAGTAGCAAAGCTGTCCGCTCGGACCGATCGGATCATAGACATTGCACTTGGTGTGCTTGTCAAAGCTCCAGATAGCGAGATCATTCGTCGTAATACTGCCTTTTGGAACCGTGAAGATGATGGCCATTATAAGTTCGAGAATGTGTTTCTTAGCATGGAGCACGATTTGGTCCATATAACATTGGCTCTCAAGAAGGGCCCTTGTCAGTGCGAATGTAATAACATTGCTGCACGTCTTGATAGAATCGCGAGGAAGGTTTCGTTTAACCTGAATGTTTAGAATGTGTAGATATTTATCTATGAAATGATTCACTGCGGAAGGTGTTTATTATCCTGATATTGTAGATCTAGGTGTAGAGCCAACGATGTGTCAACTTCTCCCTCGGATATTATATCCGTTACTCTATTATTGGCTGGAAATGACTGATGTGGACAAAAAGTAGCCAGAACAAAAAATAGAACAACAAAAAAGAAATCTCTCCCTCGGGGAATCGAACCCCGGTCTCCCGCGCTTATCGGTGTTAATGACAAGCGGAAATCATCACCACTAGACCAAGGAAGATGGGATGGCTGAGTTACTGCTCGGCCACTTGGCTGGTTGATGGAAGGACTTGGCCATATTGATCTCATGAGCGATCTCTGTCAGAGTATACATCTACGCACAACCCGTCTATGTACAAGATTCAAATGTTATTTGAACCTTCTGTAACTATTGTAATCATTTCCAAGCTTAGTTGCACTTTCCCAAATTCTTATTAATGAGAATATTTGCATACTTATTTCCTGGAAGAAATTCTGAGAATAAAAAGCGAATAAGGTTGCAATGATATATCCACGGTGTGGGTATGATGGAATACCGATTTGACAACATTATATTGGGATGGGGATTTCTTTTTTGGGAGGCTTCAGAGAAATACCGTGGCGACATATCTACCACAATGAAAATAGAGTATAATCATCTAAGTGACGGATTTGGGTCAAACAACCCCGAGTTAGGCCACAATCCATCCAATCCCGTATCAAACCCAAGGGACCACGATCCATCAATAAATGGCCATTGAAACATATCAGTTTCAAAATCATGATGACCACCAAGCGCAGCATTATCCCTAGCAAGGAAGTTGGGATCACCACCAAGACCAGGCGACGATGTTCCCCCACGGGCATGAGTGCTGTGAGTATCACGAGACTCAGAGGTTCGCGCCCTAGTCGCATACGCATCCCTGCTCGGACGAGATCGGATGTCACCATATTCATCCAGGGTACCCGCGAGGGCGAACCTCCTGGGACTGTGCATACCAGACTCCGAGTGAGCTTGGTTACTCTTGACTATTTCGTAGAATCGATTTGCTTCTTGGACCGTTCGCCACTGATTATTGTTAGCTGCGATGCTTGGTTAGAGATGTTTTGAGAATCCTCACCCAGCTGCGACCAACGGGCCAGAGTTTACCTAGTCGCTCCAGGTAGACCAGGTTTCGACCCTTTTCTTCCTCGGCCCGTTTGAGGCCGCCCGGATATCGCTGTGGGGCAATTGTTCCGTACATGTTGATGTGAGCGGCGACAAAGACGCTGAAGCCGGAATATGGTGACATGACGGGCGCACCGGAGGCATCTAGTGCATTGAGGATACCGCCGATCTGCTGAGCGGCTTCGAATAGCTGTTTGATTGTATCGGGTTCGCCTTGGGCGTCATCATTTGTGTCGTGGAAAACGTCGGAATGGGGCTTGAGGTTGGATAAGAAGCGGTCTCGGTGGAGAAAAAGGATGCTGAATGAGACGGAGTTAGTATCGTTGCCTGGAATTAGCTAAATAGAAACAAATACCTCATGTAATAAACCAGATTGATGTAGGCAAATAGCTCCCCATACCCGAGTGCCACGTGCGACTGAACGCTGGTAGCTGGGAACCGGACCGTTACATCCTGAAGAGACCTCCATTCATCCAGTTCCTCCTTGAGGACCTGCCAAGTCAAGAGGAGCGGGGATATAGTCGAGTCGTTCGAAGACAAAGAAGCCAATGCTCGTCGATGTTCATTCGCAAATCTTAGGATTCGTACGAATATGTCGAATCCTCGGGTGACGATTGTGAGGCCATGCTCAATTGTAAGGCCCCTCGCTAGCAAACAGTCTTTATTCATATCAGCAGGCATCAATCTGCTGGCTGGTGTATGATTAAATGTGAAATCTCGATCACTGATAGGGAGAGGAACTGAGATCTGGGAGAATGACAGGGCAAAGTGCTGACGGGCTCCGGAGCTCAGTTCGCAGTCCTGCGCAAAGCAGCACCAGTAGGTTCGGACCAGTTGTTCGTATTGTGTTTGGGATGCATGGAACTCCTGAGGATTGTGTTCCATGCTATCATCTGCCATCTTCAGAAGGGATTGAATCATGTAGGTCGCCATGCCTGATGATTGTCAGCTAGTGATATACGATCGGTTAAGGATTCGATACATACCGCTATACATCCACGCTTGATATGGTCGCCCAGTGCCCCACTCATAAAATGAGATCATCACGAGGGACTGGGCAAGATAGAGCGAGGGGGCCTCAAGCACGCGCTGGGCAAGGTTTTTACGTGCATAATCGGCATAGATTTCCTCCTCCTCAAGCTCATTGCTGTTCATAAACCGTACGCACAAGGAAAGGACCGAGGCCACAAAGACAGAATCCACCGACTGGACGTTGGATGATATGTCGGAGATCAAAGAGGGGTAATGAAGGAAATTAGTAATTGGGAACTTTTTTCTGTAGGTTTCCACTGCACTGATGACGGTTGCCGGTGACAGTGATGCTATGGGATCCTTGGACAGGTCTTGAGCCACGGGGACATTCTCAGGGGTGCTTCTTTCTGCATCTCCAACCACTGGCGATAGGGCGGATGATGCCTTTCGTTTTCTTGGGGTCCTGGATGTGACAGTATTGCTCCGCGTCCTTTGTCTTGAGGCGCGGGGATCTGTCAAATTACATCCTTGGTTCTTGGTCTTCAGGCAACGTTGACAGGGCGGTTGCCCTTCATGAACGCATTTGACTTTTGCCTGCCTGCATAAAAGATCAGATAAGATAATACGCCTAAGCCTTCCTATATAAACTTACCGACAAGCATCACACGATATTGACAGCCTCATCGAGTGTACATACGGGTAAGAGTGGAGTGGGCCGTATTAGAAAAGGCGGCTTTCAAGTATCGTGGGGTAAGTTAAGACAAACTCAAGCCCATCGGATTAATGTAGGAGCGCAATTGGACTAATTCAACTATTTATGTTGATTAATTGAACAGTTGGAGACATTCATGGATGTCTGAGGGAGCAAGAGTTACACGGATATCTTAGTATCCGAATGTGGTTAGCATGATCAGCTGACTTGGATCTATGAAGAATTCTGATATGAATTTTGATGAATTCTGATTTCTTGTTATAATTATATTAATCTATAGTGGCAATAACCGTATAAGAAATCGCTGTAGGAAAAGTCAATGGTGGCGAATTCCTTCAAATGTTGGTTGCCACTGTCCACTGCTGCACCCACGCATTGAACTTGTCAATTTCCTGCTCATCCGTGGCCCAGGACGTCACAAGCCGAATCACGGAGTCTCCATTATCAAGCTGCTCCCAAACATAGAATCGGAACCTGTCCTGCAGGCTCCGAACCAATTGTTGAGGAAGGATAACAAACACCTGGTTTGTTTCCGTCTCCGCAGCCAATCTATAACCTAACTTCTCGAAGCTGGTTGAGATCTTCTGGGCCATCTCATTGGCATGCGTGGCCAGTGTGAAGAACAAGTCTGATCGGAAGAGCTCCATGAACTGAACCCCAAGAATACGGCCCTTGGCCAGCAAAGCGCCATGCTGTTTGAGATGGAAAACGAAACCATCGGCCAGGTCCTTCTTGACGACGATTGCTTCTCCCATCAGAGCACCGGCTTTGGTGCCACCAATCCAGAAGATATCGGTCATATCAAAGATCTCCCGTAGGGTGAGATCGTTCTTCCTTGAGCAGATGGCTGTGCCGATTCGTGCTCCGTCCATGAAGAGCAGGAGATTTGATTGTTTGCAAATAGCCGAGAGGCTGCTCAGCTCGCGTTTTGTGTAGACAGTGCCGGTCTCCGAGGCATTAGAGATATAAAGTAGCCGGGGTTTGGCCATATGAGGGTAGAATTGATTTTGCTGGAGCGCCTTTTGGAGATTGGTGGGCGTCATTTTGCCGTCGACTGCAGGCACGAGGATAAGTTTGTGGCCCGTGGCCTCGATCGCACCTGCCTCTTTGCAGGCAATATGACCCGAGTCCAGAGTAATTACAGCCTCATAGGGCCTTAGGCAGCTGGCGATTGAAATGAGGTTTGCGGAGGTTCCGCTGGGAACGAAGAAGATATCTGCCTCGTCCTCGGTGCAACCGATCTTGTTTCGGATCAATTGCCGGGCACAAATGCTGTATTCATCATTTCCATAGGTGACTTGCTGTGTGGAATTTGTTCGCAAAAGAGCTTCAAGGATTTGTGGGTGAGCTCCCTCGCTGTAGTCATCCATAAGGCTGTATGGAGGGCATGCGTCATCTTGGCGTAAGCTTGTCGATGGCATGATGGGTATCAAATTGTGAATTTGGTTGAACACAACAAACAATGATTCCCAAGGTTTGAGCTTTAAACAAGTGACGAAGAAAAAAAGGAAAGAATTATTTGGACCAGTACTACATTGTCCATAATTCCATAACGGAAAAGACTCGGGAATAATTTTCTCGGGAATGTTGCCACATTATTCCCGAGATTTGTCAGTACCGGAAATCCCGTGCGGGCATTTCCACCTGGGCAGTTATTATCAAGTAAATTTGTGGGCCGGAACATGGGGTAGCACCGCTTTACTGCGGAACACCCCAATTGATGTTAATAGGTCTCAATTGAGACATCCGAAAGATATGTTGTGTGACATCCATCAAATTAAGGCAAGATAGGCTCAAGATTAGTGTTTCCGATCGACACCCGGCTCCCGGGCTCCCGAACGGACACTCTGGAATCAAAGGACACAACCTTGGAATGGTCAATTGGGATCCCCCCTCATGGAATACCCCTCACGAGGGGTGTTGTCATGAGGGGTATTCTCTAAGTTACTCTTTGGTTCTGTATCACCCCGAGAACAGCTTCGGTGACCGACATTAGAACCGTCTGTATCACGGCTGAAAGGACTGCATAAAGTCCAAGTACACCGCTATTGCGGGCAGATGTAGCCCTTCCCAACACCCAACGCGTGTAGGGGTAGCATGGTTCATGCTTTCGAGGCATAGGCCTCACTATAAACAGCGGGATCCACTCCCCGGTGTGGGTTCTCGAATGTTAAAGAAACACCAGCTTCCATATTTGGCATTTGGCACGAGGGGAGAAATAGCCTTAGTTTGGGGTTGACGCTTGCATGGAGGTCACTGTCGGTCATGACAAAGCGAAAGGGCGAACCTTGGAATGAGAAAGATCTGAAAAATAGAAGCAAGAAGATGTCAGAATTAGATTAATGGGCAAGAAAGAAGGATACCTGGGTAGAATAATAAACGTGTCGACACTAGCGTGTGATATTCTCATATAAAGACTCGGCGAATCAGACCAACTCATGCTCGGAGGTCGCCATTGAGCGATGATCCGAGCAACTTCCACTTGTAGTATAGGTACATACATGGCTGCCGTGCAAAAGTTAACAGATTATCTCTGCGTTAATGTTTCTACCCAAAGTTAAACTCATGGGCTTACTATAACACGCCACCTATAAGCGAAGCGAGGACATGAGCCTAATGGGCTGCACCTTGTCATACGCGTTGCTATTTCGTTCAGTTCCTTTGCCAGATCGTACCATAAAGCCTTTCCACATAGACGTATCTTAACCGAATCGCGGTTGATGTTCAGTGTGAACAGGTATATCACGAAAGCCAAAAACACCCGATATGGCCGGGTAGTCGATGAAGCCAGTAGCCAGTACTATATACACATTGGACTGGAGTCCACCAAAGACCCGAAAAATAATGTACAAAAACTCCCGCAAATAATGCAAACAGTGTTCGATGCCTTTGACGAAACCAAAGAAACTTAATCCTCATGCGGCGAGGCGAGATGCGCCCGCTCGTCTGAATACCCATCTTCCGTGCGAAGACGCTGGTAGAGGCGGACCCGCCAGCCACGGATGACCATATAGCATGCCATAACGCCGAAAAACAGACAAAGAAGCAAAACGAAAGAGAAGATACCGCTAATGCTGCGGATAGCATCGTATGTATGCTTGAGGACTTGGGTGGTCTTCTGTGTTTGGGTATCAATTGCACCCGGTGGCGTTTGACCAGACTTGTCAGCCGCATTGTCTCCTTCTGCGCCATTGTTTTCTTGGTGAATGGTCGATGGGTCAACCGGAATGGGTGACTTCCCTTTGTATCCGACAGACTTCCAGTCGGGGGACTTGCTTCGGTGCATTTCGGACCTGCCTAGGACGGTGCCATTGACATCTACTGCCTCGGCAGATACCCAGTCCAGGTATCCACGGGCAATGTACATGGTTTCGAAATCGGACCGAGGGGTCTTGCCGATAAAGACGGGGTCGTGGAACTCGTTGGCTCGCGCGTAGAAATGCCACCATGCAACGTCCGTCGCGCCGTTCCAACTGACCCAGAATGTGGTCACCATGTTGGTTTCATCGGTGCCGTAGACTGACGCTACCATGTCTGGTGGTGCCGTGGGGCGACCGGTGAATTCGAATTTGTACCCGCGGTAGGATGAATAGCGTGGGGAGGTGAAGTTGGCAGTCATCAACAGTTCTCCATCGCCGGCATGTTCGGAAATATATCCCTCTTTGCTCCAGCAAGTGAACACATTGTCATTTGGAAGCAGCTGGGTATTGCCGCGGAGTCTTGAAAGTTGGTGATCGGGGCGGTTGTAGCGCCGGATAGCTTTGGCGGTCATGGGCTTCACGCTGGTATCCAACTCGACAAATAGGGATGACGACATATTTTCCTCATTGAATTCCTCGTCCGAGGCATTATTCAAAAATGAGATAATGTGGTGCGTCCCATTGGACTCCACGAATTTCGCGTCGTGCTGCTTTGAAAACGTGAAATCTTGCTCGAAATCACTATATCTTCCACCCAATCGCCACATGATATTTCCATCCATGCAGGAGATGAGGTAGATGGTGTTCGTAAACCGGCATGATATCAAATAGTCCCCAATTTCATTCTTATCAACTGAGTTGACATGCACATAATCCCAGCCAGGGTGTCCCTCTACCGGAGAATACGGGCTGTAATGGACGGTCTCCGGCAAAGGAATGCGACCATAAGAGTCCCACCACTGGATAACCTCGGCAGTGTTCAAATCGATCTCAGCATACCCGCCGGACTCAAGCCAAGTCTTCTCTGTCGGAAGACCAAATTCCTCCAGGCTAATCTCATGAGAAAGGTAGACTGTGACCAGCGCAGTCTTACCGTCGTCCAGGATGTTGAACTCGTGGATGTCAAAAGAGCCGAGGTCTTTCCGCAAAGGAAGCTTTCGTTGGACATGATAATCATTGGTCAAGATCATTCCATACCCGGTGTCTATATTTCGATCCCACGAGTTTTGCAAGACCATCGAAAGGTGTGGGTCAGGGCCTAGGCTGTTGACGACTTTGAAATCGAAGACGTTCCGGTTCTCGAATTGTTGCGAGCCAGTCCAGATGAGGCGCTATTATACCGAAATATGGTCAGTTGTCGGGATTCTGTATCGCAGGGGGTTTGGTGTAAACGCACTCCTTCACTATCGTAGATATGGGGGCCGATCTGATATTGCTCGTACAAGGTCGACGGTGGATCGGGGCCAATGTGTAGGTAGGGAGCGACGAACCAGTAACCGGGGCTAACGCGCTCGCGGTTCTCGTAGTGGACATTGAATTTCACTGCGCGGACATCGGGCAGCTGGAGAACACGGTGTTAGCGCGATCGAACAAGTTCTGGGATATGGGGCACGGACTGTAACGAATGACATGAGATCATCACTGGAATATTGCGCCAGTGCGGTTTGGCACAGCCATAACAGCAATGAAACGCTGAAAAGTAGCATTCTTCAAAGAGCGTGGTATAGGGAAGTCATGAAGAAGAGAAAAGGAAAGGGGACTATCGCTGGGGTCTAGACAAGGCAATGTACGTGCGGATCGAAGGAGACGCCAAGACCCGTGGGCGAATGGCAGGGGCGGAAGGGCCAAGCAAAGGCTGTTATAATTGGATCCTCTGGCGCCGCGAAGGGGGGTTGAAACAGAGAAATGTGGTGCTTTCTTCCCGGTCAGGCTTAATGAAGATCTTCAAGTGGACCGCAAAATCCGTAAGGCCTCGTCAGCACTTCTCGCCTGTTGGTAATGTCACCGTCTATACGGCAACAACCTTGGAAATGAAGTATCAAATTGTTAGTCTTGGAATTCAATTGTTTAGTCTCGCCATTTTAGCTACGTAAGCAAAATTCTCCGAGTCTTTCGTATGATTGTCCACATACCTGGCACTTCCATAATGGATCTGCATTTCCGAGGGGCTTACCGCCTTAGATACTGCCAGACTGACTTCTATAGATGCGACATGGTATATTAATTGAACAGTACAACGATAGTGACTGTTCTGATGTGTTGACTATTCTATACGATAATAGTGGCCCTAGAATGGGTATGAATAGAAATAGCACAAATCATATCCTTTTTTATGTACAGCAGGTCTACCCAACCCGAATATTATACAGAGGAAGGGAACCAAACTATCTTACACTAATAAACACTGGGTAGCCAGCAATGAACCGCTTCAAAATAAATCGAAAACCGAAACCACATACCCCAAAATGCATGCTATGCAAGTCGCTCCAAGGACCAAAAAGAGAAAACAAAAGACGAGCTGTCCACTATCTTCAACAGCACCTCACTCATCAGGATCACGATAATTCCAAAGCTTCTTCCGCTCCGCAACCCACCAAAGGCCAACCTTCTCAGCCTTCTGAGCCCAATCAAAAGCCTCAGGCCCATGTTTGAAATGAACCTCCGCAGCAAGCGACCCCATAGTCCAGCCCGTGACAGGCTCAAGCTCGTACGGGTCCTTGTTCAAGTCCGTGAACCGGTACTCGAAGTCATTGTTCAATGGTAGGTTGAGGCGCCAGGGCACAGCAGCGGAGCCAACACTCAGCATCGAGCCACCGGCATTAATGACGCCCATGTTCCAGGCTTCGCGGCCATTGTGCGAGGTGCGGTATGGCCGGATGAAGGACTGGCCCTCATACTCGTTCATCAGATCCAGGGCAATTTCTGTGTCGTCTGCGTTGAGGGAGTTGGTGTTCACGAGGAGATCGAGGATCGTGGGGAGGATGGAGACGGCGCTGCCGTTGACATTAAGGTGCATGCGGGGTAATAAGGGGTGGTGGAATACTAGGGGCACGCGGAAGTTGCTGATGTGTGGGTTGTGGTAGGTTCCTGTGACGGGACAGTCTTCTCCAAATGCTTGGCCGCTGTTCCGTTGGTTAGATGCCAGGTTGGTCAGGTGGGTTGGCCTTTTGGAAGTTATACGTACTGGTCTCCCACGAAGACCGTCAAGGTCTCGTTGGCAATACCTGCCTCGTCTAGCATTCCCATTAACTCCCCCCAGCCAGGCGTCCACGAAGCGGTTTGCGTTGAGGAATTCATCCATAAGTTCGTGTTGTGATTTGTGGAGATCACCGAAATATTTATCACGGTTCCAGCCTTCGGGTGTACCCCAAGGGTGGTGAGTGGTGCTGGTGAAATGCGAAAGGAGGAGTCTCTTGTTCTGACGAAGTGTTTCGTCGATCATGTCTTTGATGTAGGGGCGGGCCTCAGTTTCGGCATAACTGTGCTAAGTTAGTATCTACACACGAAGAACAGCTGCAGGAATCCTGCTTGACAACGTACCCGAAATAGTTGATCTTTTCCATATCCTCATGGAAATATTTCGCGTCCTCCACATCAATGTCTTCTGAATACAATGCCTGCTTGAAACCGAGCAGATCCATAAGCCGAGTCTGTGCCTGAAACTCCCCAGTGACAGACTGCGCATAGATGGTTTCCCACTCCCGTTCCAGGTGGCTGTTGGTGGAATTTCCAGAGCTAGAGGAATTCTTTCGCTGGCTGAACAGATCCATGATGTGCATCAGACACGGCTGGTATGGAATTATATCATTTTCATGCATAAAGTCCACCGGGAGCGGCCCAAGACCGCAGTAGTTTACAAGACGCGATTTAGCAGAGAGAGTGCTCCCCGATAATATCCCGTCGAAGCTGAGACCACCTAGCCCGGAATTCGTTGAGTCGACTGAGGAGCCAAAGCCAGATTGCTCCCCTGTAAGCATTTCTGCTACGGGGGTTATCTGAGACAGTTTGTCGTGTAGATCGGCTTCGTCCTCCTCTCCGAATAATTCATATGATTCGCGAATTTGGTTATACAAGTGGGAATCATTTTTGAGAGGGAACAGATCCTTTCTGCCACTTTCCAAGAACACAAAGACGATGTGGTTGATCGGGATGGGATGGTCCTTCAGTGCCTCTTGCAGAGGGCCAAGTGGTTCCAGATCAAGGTTGCTTATCCTCATGGGATCTTGAACGGGATTATAGAAGTAGTGTCGCGGTTCGACTGTCTTGTTCTGGCTTCCAGAATCGGATTCGTTTTCGTCTCTCTTGAACACACTCTGAACAGTCGAATTAGATGGCTCCAAGCTAATTTCGGCCGTGTTCGGATCGGGATTCACAATCCATCTCTCAAACGCAGCGGGAAGAGGGCCTCGCGCCCAGTCTGGCTTATTATTTCCATAGGCAGTGTTACCCGAATCATCCAACGTCGGTGCCCACCCCTTATAGTGCCCGTTTGCAGGCTCCCAATATGCCTCCGCCAGCAATTCAGGTAGCGGAAATGTTTCGATGGTCATCCGACGAGCCCGAGACTGCTCACCGAGCATGGTGAAGGGTAGAGCTCCTGTCATATGATTGTATGGGATTGACGGCCGGATCAGCCAGAGTCCGATCGTTATTCCAGTGCCCACAAGCGTCCACAACCGAGATCTATTCGACACCAAACTTCTCAGATCCGAGGGGCCTGTTAACATGGTGTAAGTCTTGGTGTCTCCGATATTGGCGAGGGAGCATAGCCAGCGGGTCATGAGGTTCCAGATCCCTTGAGCCATAAGCCAGGAAGCCACCGTGATGACTGTTGTAGTGGCAGCCATGGGCATCAGTCCGCTCAATATCAACTTCATTCCCTGCCGACTGGCGCCCACGGACCTGGCTGCATCCCATCGAATTTCGCTGCCGGTCTGAGAATAGAAACTAACTTGCGAGGACGTTGCTAATAAATCAATGCATCTGAGGATAGAAGTCAATATAATTGTCCGTTCCATTTACAAAAAGGTGAACCCACGCGACAATCGCTGAAATGATAACGGCAGCCACTGACCACCGACCGGATGTTGTATATAAGAGAATCCATACTGCAACGAATAGGATAACCTCCTGGATAAAGAATGTTGGAAAATAGAGGGCCAAAAGGTATAGAGGAAGAGATCGATGTTGATATATATGAAGCAACTTGGAGCAGAGACCGGAAAGCACTAGAATGGACAAAATCAAGCGCTGCGGATGATGAAAACGAGTGACAATCATAATGGCCCGACGCAAAACGCGGCCAACATGAGGAAAATCTTTTGAGGCGGACTGTTTTTCAATCCGTTTATACTCACTGTACAATATAAGGGGCAGGAAAAAGAGGGAAAAGACGAGAAAAATAGGGAGTTAAAGAGATTGACTGCTCGCGTGCTCCACAACAGCATACTATCGGAGATGTGGCATGAGAGCGCCACATCGACTGGATTGGATTATAATTGTAAAACAGCCGGATCGTGCGGGTGCACTAGCCAACACAAGGTGGACCTGAGCCAGGGGGCCTTTGCCTCAGCCTTGGAGATGATGGGTGTTTTGATGTGTAGTGTGATTGGTGATGTGTACTTTCTTTTTCTTTTCCGACAATGATCGGCGGTCCGGGGAAATGTCATTCAGCCTTAAGAGGTCACATTATTAGTATTGTCTTGACATTGCAAGTTCAACGTATTCTCGTATGGAACGGAGTGGGCCTGTGTCTGTGTATCCGAATACGACGAGCCCCGTAGCCCTATAGGCGTTCAGGGGAACGGGCCCCCCCGGGGACAGCCGGAAGTACTTGTTGGAACGTTGGAACATTGGAGGTGAAATCCATAGCCTCTAAGCGAACTGTTGTATCGACGATACTGGAGAAGTGAAAGTCTTGGCTGATGTGTTTTGGGTGTTGACTGCTTTAGCCTTGTACTCGGACCTGTTGGCGGCAAGCGGGCGGCACCAGGGTGCAACATATCCAACACACACCTTGGCACTTGTGTATCAACATATTGGAAATCACATCTAGAATGGACGAAAATGACCCCTTTGAGGCCAGAAACGGTTTTCCATCTGTAACTTCGATGTACAGTGGGACCGAAATATTGGGCTAAACTTTTGTAGATATATACCGCCCTGTATACCGCCTCCATTTAAACATGCTGTCACATGAATACGTAGTCGGCCATAGTCTTCTTAGTCTCAGGTACCTAGGTAGTCTTCTCCGATAGTCTTTTCATGTGTCTTTTCATGTCTTTTTAGTGGTCTTTTTTTAGCAGTCTCAGGTACATACCTTTTGACGGCTAACCTCTCCTGGATCACGTGGCTATACGCTACCTATAGTAGGGGTTTTAGACTGGCAGAACTGGCGGAATTTGGAAAGCGGTATATCTGGGTACGAAGGCTTAGCCCAACCTTGGACTATTTCGGAGATCCCACTGTATTCTCCACCCCTGGCCCCTGGCCCCTGGGGCCAAGAGTTAGTCATCCTCTAATACGAACATGAGCGCTCAACTTCAACGCTTTTGCTCTAAGTTTGTGGACGCAAAACTTGTGACACCTTACCTAGGGAAAGAAATTGACATCCCAAACCGGTGATATTGACTGCGTTCCCCAAAATGGCCGAGGTGATTGGTACCGTCGCGGCAGTTCTGCAATTAACCCAGGCAGCTGCGACAACAGCTCTCCAAGTGTACGAGTTCTTCTCCGTTATTCACAATGCGCCCCAAGAAATTAGCATGCTGAGTAGAGACGTGCGCGCGTTTTACACCTTATTTCATAATCTCGAAACATCATTAGGCAGCGCCAGTGTGAAAGCGGCTATTGATAGGGATGTGGAGATAGAAACCGCGCTGAAGACATTGATCGATCCTATTTCCAACTGCCGTGCTGCGCTGAGTCGAATGAAAGATAAACTCAGTCCGCATCTCAGAGCAGATATTTCTTCGCTTCAGGTTTCTAAACAAGACTCGGAAGCTGGCCATCCCATTTCAGTTGAGCGATTGCGGATGAGAAGCGCGAATGTGAGCTGGTTTTTTAAGCGGAAGGAAGTCTTTGCGTCGGCCCTTGAGTTGGAACGTACGAAAGCCACATTCGGGGATGCTATGGGGAGTATCACATTGTACGTTGCATGATGGAAGTGGCAAGCGTTACTTCACTTCATTTGCTTTGATATTCGTTCCTTGCATTTCATGTGTCTGTAAGAATATATGGCTTATATCTGGCAGGCTTTTGGCACTTAAACAGTCGACTATAAAGAGCGAAAGCAGGGTCATAGCCCGAAACCATGACTTTAACGACGACGCGGGTTCAGCGTTAAGCAATTACGCCACGTCTATTGTCGACGTCCAGCAAGATGAATCATCAGCCAAGAAACCCCTAGGACGTTCAGTTGCAAGAAAAGAAAAGCCAAAGACCGACATCCAAACCAGAATCAAACTGGCGAGAGAATTGAAGGTCGGCATCGATGGCAACTCAAAGTTTGTCGTGAAAGCAGTCCTCCAACATGTGGATGTTGACGTTCGGGGTCGAAAAGGTAGAACTGCACTTTCTCACGCTGCAGAAGCAGGAAACGTGGAAATCACAAAGTTACTACTTGAAGAAGGCGCTTCGGTATCAGCTCGTCAGTACAGTGTCAGTGGCTGGGCCGGAGGCCACAATCCTCATCACTGCAGTGGAATCACCCCTTTGCACTGGGCAGCAAGAAAGGGACATAAGCAAGTTGTCGAGCTGCTCTTGCAGTATGGCGCCAATCCAAATGCGAGGGGAACAGCCGGTCGAGCCCCAATACAAGAGGCATCGTGTGGGAATCATATCGAAATCGTCAAGCTATTGCTGTCGAAAAAGGCAGACGTGAACGCGCAGAGCTACTACGACGTGAGCTCATTACCTTCTTCTGCTGGGAAATTGTTCTACAGTTCTAATTGCATATCGTCTTAGGGCTGGACATCTTTGCACGAGGCTGTGTTTGCTAAACGCATTCAACTGGTGCAGCTTTTAATCGCCAGCGGAGCTCTCCTGAACGTTCACATAATATATCCTGACGAAAAAGCACCACTCCATTTCGCCGTGGCTTTGCAATCACTTCAGATCACGAAAATGCTACTTGAAGCCCAGGCTGATCCTAATGTACTGATGGTGGAAGATATAACACCTCTGCATTTAGCTGCTGCGGCGGGATGGATTCCTGGTATCGAATTGCTCGTGAGCTTCGGCGCCGACCTGGATGCTAGGGACACCTTCACTCACGAAACACCCCTACACAAGTCCGCACGAAACCGCCACATTCGTGCAATTGAGAAGCTCTGTGGATTGGGGGCGAACCGAGAAGCCAAGAATTGTGATGGGCAGAGTTATGCGGATATTCTGGAATGCGCAACAGAGGACCCAAAGGAGTGGGCCGTCCACAACTCTAGAGCTTCATATTTCAGGCAACAGAATGCCTCGGCGCGTCCTTGACTTCAAATTCTTATACTTGCTGTTGGATCCACTTTCATGGAAAATAAGTGGAAATCTATGAATACAACGATAAGACTCACCAAGGAATCTTCCACTTCAGTAGGTTTATTGGGCCGCTAAACCGGGAGCGGTACAACTAACTGGGAAAGGGAAGACACCGATCTGTATACGCCGTCTAGAGCTATAAGAGTGAGCCATAAATTGAACTTCTTCTTGAATTTCGAATATCAAGTCGTCTCTGGACTGCTACTAGCTAGCTACTATCTCATTATCAATACGGAGTATGAAGTACGCCCCCTTGTCTCACGCGGCATTACTTTTGCAAATCTCTCAGAGCAAGCACCATCTTCAGATCTTCAAATCGAATCTCACGCCGTTTGGACCACGCCAGAAGACCGGCTGTCTTGATCACATTCTTGATCTGGCGACCGTTCAATTGCAACTCGGCTACCTGGTCAAGTTGTTCCTCCGTGAAGGCCTCAATGTTCAATGAGCGGCTTAGGAACTGTGTCCAAACCTGACGTCTGGATTCTGCATCGAGATCCCTGTAGGCGAGGGAAAGGTGGATCCGAGATTCGAAGGCAGGATCGATATTCTGTGTACGGTTGGTGGTCAAGAAGAGAATACCCTGAAGATAAAGATGGAAGATCAGTAACATGTAATTTTGAGTATCTCTTCCACATATCTTCCGGCCTTAACGATCCAAAGGTTGGAACTTACTTTGTAGTATTCAAGCATTCTCAAGAAGATGGAGACAAGCTCATTGCGATCGAGATTGTTTGAATCACGGGCTTCCATGAAGACATCAGCCTCATCAAGCAAAAGAACAGCGCCCCACTTAGGAACCAGCTGCAGGATGCTTTTCAATTTGGTTTCGAAGCCTCTAGCGTCAACTCCAAGGTCGCCCGCACTCATGACATAAAGAGGAACTCTCATGACCTCGGCAACGCTTTCGGCAGTAAGGGTCTTTCCGACTCCTGGGGGACCGCTGAGCTGTATAATGAAACCCTGGCCTTTTCCCCGAAAGACATCGTCAAATGCATCCACTTTCTTGGATTGAGCCTTTGCAACGGCCAAGATCACCTCCTTGAGCCCTTCCTGCTCGCGCGGTAGGACTAGTGACTCAAAGGCCGTATCATCCCACTCAATGTCTCTCAAATGATCCACGTGGAAAGTACCCCATTCCTTGTCATTTAGAGAATATCCATAGAGCATTGGGGTTGCGATGAGGCATTGTGCATCATCCAATTCCCCATCAATCTCCCTTTCAACGTGGACTGATCGCATGCGCCCATTTTGCCCATTCAGGTTGTATGCCTCCATGTCAATGATGACGCGACTCTTGGAATTGCCATCCTGACTTTTGGAGTCCGTGCTGGTTGAAGGTTCATAGGATTTGAAATGGTACCCCTTGTACGCTTCCCACTTCTTGCCCGCGCGAGATCAACAACTCTTGGACAGTATCCTTTTCCGGGTGATATCTGAGTGGATAGATAGGCAACGAGGTAATTGGTGTAGTGCCCGGGAAATTGGGTATTGTAATCAATGAGGATACGTATCCGAACTTGCTTCCGTCAAAGTCAACGTATTCGACCGCGAAATAATCAGTTGCGGATGGTTCATCTTCCGAAGATGCTTGCGCGAACGAATAGGCATGTAGTGTCCCGCCACTCGAAGAAAGGACCACACCTTGAGGTTCCAGGATCGTCCAAGCCAAGTCGTGAGTGATGACCCCTTTGGCAACCAGGTCATTCTTGCGGTCAATCACATCTCTGAGCTCCTCATCCATGATGCGGTAGAACATATCCACATGAGCCTTGGTTGTCGGGTCCTGCTCTTCATCTCGCAATTTGGTGATCGCTTCCCATCGATGAACAAAAGGCCGGAAAGGCGATGTGACCTCGAACCGCTTCAAGGTCGTTGTGATACCAGGATAATCTGTCAGTGCCTTTTTCAAGAACTCTTTGAGACGCTCGCTTTGCACTACAATGGAATGAATGGACAGACTCCTGCGTCCATCGTAGCACTTCTTTTTCCTCACGAGAAGTGCGTATTGTGCCGACTCTGCATCCTCGACGGTATCAGGCAAGTCGACGGGTACTTCTTTGGTCCATGAGTTCATGCCATAATGATCGGACTTTGTCTGATAGAGGGTGCGGAAATCACAGAGGGTGCCAGCAGGCTCGTACTGGATATCCATGGCCTCGGGCACTGTGGTACTACCACCAGTAGCTTTGATTATTAGCATGAGGTGACTGATATTCTAGTGTCAGAGGTTTGATAGACTTACCAGCTCCATCTGAGATATCGATCGCCATGATGGATGTCAAGAAAGAATTGGAAGGGGAAAAAGAAGTTTCAGCGAGAAGAAGGTAGAGGGAGACTTAAGTACTCAGAGAAGGAACCAAGGTTGGAAGGAATTACCCTTAGATGTTTGCCTACGTGTATATGAGCCACGTCTTATGTTACTATTACACCTTCTTCTATACATGTGCTTGTTAGCGTGATGTAGAATATCACTGGTATTATTCTTTTATTCCATGACCATTGTTGATGAAAGGATTAGGCGATAGCTACATATGTACCTAGGTAGTTATAGACGCATCAACATTATCTTGGATCACCATTGGGATATTGCTATAAGAGAACTGGAAAGGTAAGAGAAGTGTGCGAAGACTAAGACGAGCAGGACTATGTACATACCTAGGTAGAGTAGATGTGAAGTGCAATAATCAGGCCTTATGTTGTGTCTATGTACCTTTTGTATGGAGTTGGTATATAAAAGATACCTAATCCTTACAATTTGCTACCATACAAGTTGAGCTGCTTTGGCAAGATTATAGAATTACAGAAAACATCCTTCGTATAGAGCCGTAAATGCCTTAAAAGGTCTCTGATTGGACCCAGACACGATATCAAGGTCTTTCACAGCTGGACACTGATTGGTCTTGTTCATCGTTGACCTCGTTGGCCATTGCGGATCTCTCCCTTGCTCCACACATCATGCCATACGATCTTTCAAGTCCCAGTTTCTTCCCCCAAGGAAAAGAAAAGGAATCTTTTGTCTAACATTTATGTTTCATCAATTCATCAAACATACTTCCACTCTATCTAGAAATATTCTATCTAGAGATGTTCTATGTATCACTTTACGCTACGGAGTACATTCGCAATGAATCGGCCTTCGGCCGAAAAGTTCCCAACTCCGAAAAAACCCCGCTAACTCATTCCGTGTGGAAAGCCGTCAGACGAGCCCTGATAACTTCCTCCGAATCCTCAGTGTCCAGTTCACTGAGCACACCCGATCCAACATCATAAATCAAGCCATGGAGCTGGAGTCCTCGCTCCCGAATCGCATTCAACACGACACTCTTCTGCTTGACAATGTTTAAGCCCTCTCGAACGTTCAACTCAGCCAGTTTCCCTGCCGCCTCTTCACTGGGCATGGACTGCAGAAGCTTAAGGTTGCGCTCACGCAGCTGACGAAGGGGGAACAGCCACGGGTCCAAAATACCCAGGTTCTTGTTGCCCAGGGCAGCCGCCACGCCACCACAGGATGTGTGGCCGCACACCACGACGTGGTTGACGCGGAGGTATTGAACGGCGTATTCGATAACGGCGTATTCGATAACGGCGGAGGAGCTAAGGTCGCCCGGGTGGAGGACGTTGGCGATGTTGCGGTGCACGAAGACGTCGCCGGGCTCGAGGCCTAGGAAGGTGGTTTCCGGGCAGCGAGAGTCGGAGCACCCGATCCACAGAATCTGCGGCGTTTGGCCGGAGGCAAGGGTGGGGAAAAGCTCGGGTTGGTTGCGGGCTGTCTGTGCAGCCCATTCCTTGTTCAGGCGCAGGCCTGTTGCATATCGATCTGTGGGAGTCGCACCGGCGATGTCAGTCTGGGTCTTGGGATATGTGTCCAAGCTCATGGGTGATTATGCGCTAGTGTTTTGATGACTGGCGCAGGATAGGGGTGTGGAGGTTGAGAAGGGCTTGGTGTGAGGTGCTGCCAGAGCGGTCATGCTGCGCCTCACTCGAGACAGGGTCGTGGGCAGGGAACCAGGTGAGTACCGGGAATCGCCGAGTTCCCCGCTGCACGCGCAATGTGACCGGTTTGCCCGGTGAGTCAGGTGGTATGCCCGGTGAGTCTCGCAGCACTCATGGAGGGGAAAAAGGAGATAGGTGGGTTATGACAGGGATTGGGGAAGGAAACCGCCGACTGAGGGAGTCCAGAGGACTACACAGACGATTAGGGAGATAACTAATCCCAACAACCGGTGCGTGGTCACTTCTCACAGAGCTCCGACAGTTTCGGGTTGAATGACCGATAAGAGAGAAAGCGGGAAAAACTGACGGGGAAGTTGAATTGCCAAGAACGCGCATAAACACTCACACACTTACCTTCAGGCATGATGGAATACTAATGGAGAGAGATACAGAAGAAAGAAAGACAGAGGATATGTTGGGGACTATATAAACTCTCATGAGTAAATAAAGAGTGGGGAGCCAAACGGTGAGTCCGAGTATTACAGAACGGGCAGATCCGCGAATCGGGCTTTTTCGTTAAGAGTCGAACGACTCCGAACTATCAGGGTTGTATACAAATACAAGCCACGTCTTTAATGGCTCAATTTACTATACATTTTTTGGGGAGCTTGGAATGCAATTGCTTTTATAAAATCAGAATAAGTACATGAGATCTTTTTATAAATTTCTTAAGATGTACCGCCACGGCCACCGACGCTCAACAGAGTCTTCTTCTGTTCCTCACTGATCTGAGCAGCAGGCAGAGGGCGGGCTCCAGCAACCGTCGGCGCGGGCAGGAAACCGGTTTGGACAAGGTATGAGGCATATAAGCCAACTAATTCCTCAGTCACGCCAGCACCGGCTGATGCGTCAACGCCCGACCAGGTGGCATCGGCACGCAGAGCGGTCGCTGCGTTCACATCATCCAATTCGGGGGCCTTAGTGTTGGAGGGAAGGTCTGAGGTAACGAAGTGGTAAAGGGGCATACTAAGGAAGGTTAGTATTTATCCATTAAGGGGCCGAGAAAGGTGAGGGACTTACAGAGCGTGCTGAGACTCCTTGTCATTGTGCTCGCCATCGTTGACATACTGCTCAAGGGAAGTTGACCAGGGCACGTAGTCAACTTGGGGGACATTGTAACCGTAGAGCTCGAGCGCACCGAGGAACTGGTTAAAGCGCAAACGAGGGTGTCCAGTAACATGGGCGACGTTAACGCCCGTGGCAGGTGGGTGGAAGGCAGTGGCAATGACAATACGAGCCACATGATCAACAGGCACCATGTTCACGGTGTTGAAGATATTCGGGCGAAGGCCAATTTGAATGCAGCCCTTGAGCATACGGATGAGGAAATCATCAGTGTTGGTAGTTCCGGTGACTGAGTCACCAAGAACATATCCGGAGCGAACAATGGTTCCCCTCAGGCCCCTGCGGCCGGCCTCTTTGACAAGGTATTCACCGGCCCATTTGCTTTGTCCGTAACCGGTTCCAAGGCCAACTCTGCTGCCCTCCATATCGTCATCTTCGCTGATACCATTTCCGCCGGCGGCGATGATACGTTCGGATTCTTGAACGTAGTGATCCTTATCCAGAGCACTGGTCGAACTGACAAAGGCAAACTGCTTGGCCTTTCCGCTGGCGCACAGCTTGAGGGCATCGATTGTACCCATGACATTAGCCGGTCTGAGCGTCGCATAGGGGTAGACCCAGTGGACAAGGGCTCCGTTGTGAATTACAGCATCGACGCGGTTGGTAAGGTCGTCCCATACTGACTGGGAAAGACCAAACTGCGGCTTTCCAAGATCACCACAGACAGCTTGCAGCTTGGCGGTCCATGCTTCATCCCAGAAACCATATGCGCGGCAAGTGGAGCGAAGTCGCTCGAGTGCCTGCTCCTCGGTCTTTGCCCGAACCAGAGCCACCACCTTAGTGGAAGGAGACTTACGGGTAAGTAGATCTCGGAGGATATGCGCGCCTAGGAAACCAGTGGCTCCAGTAAGGAACACTGTGGGTTCACTAGTGAGCATAGCCTCGGTACGCTGAGGGAATGTCTTAGGCAATTCATTCACAAGCTGGACGGCATCCTTGGAGTACTCGTCGTCCGGTTCATTGGCAGCCTGCACAGCTAGAGTCTTGTCATCGCTAGTTGCGAATGATTCCATTGCTAGCAGACGGTCGATCTCGCTGGCAAAGCCCTTGAGGGTCGGGCTGCGGAAGATAGCATTCATACTGATATCAATAACACGCCACTTACGGCGAAGCTCGAAGAACATTTGTTGTGCGAGGATACTGTGGCCACCGAGATCAAAGAAGGAGTCATCCGGGCCAATCATGCGAGAAGTCACATTGGGAATGAGCTTGGCCCAGACTTGAGCCAGAGTCTGCTCAGTTTCAGAGAGGGCCTGCAACGCAGATGAGGCGCGGCGGGGTGCAGCGGCGCTCAGCTCTGCAGTATCTGGGAAAGGAAGCGCGGGCTTGTCGATCTTGCCGTTCGGGTTCAGAGGCATGCGCTTGAGGGGAATGATAACGGTCGGCACTGCGTATGTAGGGAGCTTAGTCCGGAGATGCTCACGAGCATCATCACGGAGAGGACGGAAGCGTCGCAACAGACCGACCATACCCTCAGAATCAGAGTCATCATCCTTAAGGCCCTTGCTCTCCAACCATGACGCCCACTTGTTCATATCAGGTACAAAGTAGCTGACCAATGTGGGCTCCTCGTCTTTATCTCTTCGCACCAAGGTCACGTTCTCACGAACCAGAGGGTGCTGAGAAAGATGGGTGTCGATCTCTCCAAGCTCAATACGGAAACCACGAATCTTCACTTGGTCGTCGGCGCGGCCAGAACATTCAACATCTCCAGATGGCGTGTAACGGCCTAGGTCACCACTGCGATAAAGGCGATCACGCGGACCAACGTAGAATTGGCGCCAGGGCTCATTCTTGGATTCGGCTTGATCTTTTTCCGCCCAGATCTCAGGGTTAACAAACCAGTTGTTAAGGAACTTCTTCGCACTCAGTTCCGGGGAGCCAAGATAGCCCTCTGCAAGACCTCCTGCACGAACATAGATCTCGCCGACCTCTCCAATAGCACAGAGACGAGTGGGGTCATAGCGGTTGACAACCAGCATCTGCACATCCAACATTCCGCGACCAGCCATAATGACATCTTTCATATTGTTCAGGTAGCCCTCGTTGCTGGCGTAGCTAGGGATTTCGTAGTAGCTGACAGCACGCTGGGTCTCGGTTGTTCCGTACATGTTCACAATGCTGACATTGGGCGCAAGTCCCTGGAGTGAGCGGCAGTCTCGCTTAATCAGAATGTCACCCACAAAGAAGGCGTGGTGAAGAGCAGGGAACTGAGCAGAGGCACCACCGACAAGAATTTGACCCATAGCAGGTGTAAGGTGAGTAATGGTAGCACCGTACTTCTGCATCCATTCGGCAAGCTTTTCGTTTTGGATGTCCTCACGAGCGGGCACCAGGAGTTGAGCACCCAAGAACAACGGGGTGAAAATGTCTCTCTGAATAGGATCGTGAGCGATGCCACTCAGCATAGTAAACTTCTCATCTGGGGTGAGTTTGAAAGTCTCAGACATCCAAGGGAAATAATAAGCCAGAGAGAAGTGTCGGCCACGAACGCCCTTCGGCCGGCCTTCCGAGCCGGACGTGAAAGACAGGGTCGGAATAGAATCAGGACCAACGACGACACCAGTAGGCTTGGACTTCAGCGCGACGTCGTTGGCGAAGACATCCTGGCCATTGATGGATCCACCAGCGAGAGTTCCATCATCGAGCAGGGCAAGTGCAGGAATTTCAGTGCGGAGCTCAAGATTCTCGTCAATGAAAGTACGCACGATATCCGAAAGTTCACCTGCATCCTTTGTAGCCTTGGCAATGTTCACCAAGGCGCGGGGACGGGCAACATCAAGGTAGATGTTCTGACGTTCCGGAGGATAGGCAGGGTCAATAACGGAGAAAGTCGCACCGGCTTTCAAGATACCCATGACAGCAACCACCAGATCCACACCACGGTAGGCATAAACCATGACAACCTCTCCCCGCTGAATGCCAGATCGTACTAAATGATGTCCGAGAATGTTGGATGCCTCGTTGATTTGGCGATAGGTGAACTCGCGGTGAGGGGAGCTGCTTGACTGGGTTTCAACTACACACAGCTTTTCTGGGTGGCGTTCGGCATTGGCGGTAAAAATGTCGTGGATGGCACCACGGAAGTTAGACCAGTTCAAGTTGCATGTTGGGTCGGGCAAGAGTGCGCGCTGATCTTCAGTCATCAAGTCGATACGTCCGATAGCCTCATCCGGATTGGCGGCGGCATTGCTAGCAATACTGGCTAGTTGCTTCAAAATGAAAGCAATACGAGCACTCGAGAAAAGGCGCTGGTTGTAGTATGCGCCCAATTCGACCTCAGCTGAGCCCGGTGCAACGTTAACCACCAAATCAGTAGTATCGAAGGTGTTCGCAGGGTAATCTTGCGAGGAAGCAGGGGCATCATATGCGGCGAATCGGAAGAGGACTGGGGTGCGTTCGGACTTGGACTTCTCTTGGATGTACGAGCGAAGGCTGCCCAAGGGCACGATTTGGGAAGAGCCCTCCTTATATGCCTGGAAGACCATTAGCAGTCAACCCTACAGCAAGAAACATGTATAAATACCTTGTCTACTTTGGCATAAAGCTGGGCAAAAGACTCCGAGGTATCAATGGGAACCCGAATGACGAATGCACGACCATCCTCGTTGGAGTTTGTGCCCACAGCGATGTCCTCGTCACCAGTCAACCGCGCTACCAGGATAATAAAGGCAGTCAAGAAAGTGATGAAGCTGGATGATGAGCCTGTAAGCTTCGCCTTGGGGAGTTGAAGAGACTCAAAAGCTTCAATGACTCTCTTGCTGTCGGTCTTTTGTGTATCGGGATAATCGCGAGTCAGTGGAGAGACAGTCAGGTTCTTCAACCTTTGTGCCCATGTCTCCAGGCGGTCCTGCAAAGAGGCCGTTCCCACAGCCATAATTGCAGTTTGTTTGAAAGTGTTGCAGAATGAAAGACACGATGACTCAATATTAAAATTACCCCCCCCATAGTGGAAAAGTCCGATCTCGCCGCTATTTCTGCCAATGAGAGTTGAGGCGCTGATTAGCTATTTTCCCCACAGAGTATTCACCGCCTTGTACATGGTGGGGTGGCGTCGGAGTTTAGGTTTCTCCAGTCCAGAGCGGCACAGATTGGCAGAACTAGGGAGTAACATCGTTGAACGGAGTACAAGGAGGTCTGGTTATTCCTCTTCGTCTGATCTTTCCACTGAATACTATTGGCATAGAGTCTACTATACTTGCCCTAGACAGCCACTTTTGGGGTGTCGAGAATAGAAGC